CCTCAGGTGCTTTGGAGATTAACTAAACCCCCTCTTCTCTGTGACAACCTCATGAGGAGTCGAAGACAGCTATAATGTCAGCCCTAGACTTTCTCTTCGTTAGGCTAGACATAGTGCAGCTACATCTATATGGTCTGTTTCCTTCGCTGTTCATTGTAAGTCTCAGTCTCCAGATTAAAATGAGTGGATCTCCACTGTGGAAGAAAAGTTCTGGTGAATCTTTGAGGTACCTACGAGTCCATTCTGATTCTTAGCTCATTCCCATCTGTGTTTTGAGGTCAAAGTAGAGATTGTCTACGAACTCTTTTGATTCCACCTATCCTGGTTGTCTGGCCACTTCATTGACCACCTTGGACATCAGGTGCATGTCAGCTAATCAATTTATCCATAACAAACAGGTCGGCATTAAGTGTCTTCTTTGGCCAAGACGCAACTACATCCATATTGTGAGGGTAGGGTATGGATCCTTCCCACCAAGTCAGTTTACATATTCACCTTAGTCATCCCAAGCAATATATATGCTTATGACCCTCCCTGCCTTTGTAGGCAGCCACATGATGGATCCTCCTTGAGAGTAATGGCATTGTAATGTGGGCTTCGTCACTGTTGCCTCAGAACAGATTATGTGAGCATAATCTTCTGTCCTGACATAAACTATACTTAAAATCTAATCCTCTCTGTGTTGGTGTAGTGGGATGGTTTTCAGTAGAATGTGTCCATGTCAGATCTAGGTATGAGGCAATGCTGAGGGACTCTTTCATCTGCATTATTACGAGTAATTAAATTCTATTTAAAAGAGGTCTGGATTTAACTGCTTTTACCAGAGTTACGTTAACAGTTCATGAACAGTATGCACTGGGATATTGAAGCCTTTGCATACGGTTTGTGGACTGTTAACGCAACTGCCAGCTTTCAAAATACTGGTGTTTGTGCCGTTTTGGGATTTCCCAAAGGCAGAGGGCTTTGTTTACTCCAAAAGTTAGGATATAGCGGTCTGTATTTCTCTTCTTCAATGAGGGATCTGGGAAGTATTCTAAGAGGGTTAAAATATTTCCTACATGGTTCGTAGCTACATGGTTAGTAAAGATAATAACATACTTAGCAATAAGGTGACCAACCGTCCTCCTTTAGGGAGGACAATCCTCCTTTTGTAAGTTCTGTCCTCCCTCGAAAAGTGTCTTCCTACATGTCCTCCTTTTTGATATTTGAAGACTAATCTGCAGGGCTTTTTTTTTCCTCATAGAACGCTCAGAATGGCATTCCGACACCTTTTTTTGATGTTTTTTTTTTCAACCTTTGCATGAGCTGTGCTACTCCCACTACTGGCTTTTGAAAGCTAATAGGAATTGCTGCTGAGCGCGCCAAAACACCCGGCTGGCAAACTTTGCAAATGCAAGTTGTCTGTATTATTGTTGCAATGAATAAAATGTTTCTTTTATTTACGATATTTTTTCTTCAATTTATTTGTGTCCTCCTTTTCATTGTAAAAAAGTTGGTCACCTTATTAGCAAAGTTAAGACAGGTGCTTCAGTGACAAAGAGTATTTATTTTATTAATTTTCTCACAGAGTGACTCTGGGTGGTTTGCATACAACCGTTGCTGGTAAGAGTCAAACGTTAGTTGCGTTAATTGATTTCTGTCAAGACCAAGCTGACTTTTTGATAGCAGTTTAGAAGTGGTCTCACTGTATCCTCTCCATGTACAAGTAGTCCTTGAGTTACAACCAGTTGTTTAGCAATCATACAAAGTTATGACCGACCCAAGAAAGGGGATTTACAATATGGATTTCTGGATTTCCGATGGCTACAGTCACGTGGCTGAAATTCTGATGCTGAACAACATGTCTGCCGTTATGGTTATTTGCAGCTCGTATGTTGAGGACTGCTTGTAGCACTACGCCAAAAATATATTAAGGAACTTAAGCAGGAGCCCTATAAGATTTTATTCTATAACTGTGGTTTGTACCTGGAATGTGCTTTCACAGTAGAAGAGTGGAAATCTGTTGTTTAAATCAGCCATTAAGCAAAATATAACGCTATGTTTATAACTAACTGTAGAATACAGCCAATTCAACCAAAACAGTGGTCGTCCCAAGGGAGCTTTTCAAAAGACAATGGGACTTTCTTTGTTTTCTTCCTTGAAGATGTTCCCCTTCTTATCCAAGGAAGCTTCTTCAGTTCTGACTGAACGGTGGGGAATTGGCAGTCCCTGGAAAAATGAGCAAATTATGATTGGCATCACAAAGGACCAATACGTCATTGCATGTGACAGATATCCTGACACTTATTTTTCTGTGGAATTTCCCAGGGACTCTTCTGCTTTGAACAGCCCATTCCCTTATGTAAATCATGATAGCTGGAAGTCATTAAAATAGTTTTCTAAAAGTATATTAAGCCTTCACTTAATGGAGTAGAGGTTTGTGTTTTCCTTTGTTAGGAATTTTGTAATACATCTTAAATCTTTTATTGGATACTGATTAATAAATCTCTTTTGTAATCCTTCTGCTTTCTGTAATAATTCTGGGAATTGCATGTAAAGATTGAAATCAGGCCTAATGGCACATTTAATGACATGATTGTGACACAATTTAGAAATAAGCGGTGAAGTCATGCAGTGATTAATTCCGTCTTGTCATTTGGACTAAAATACCCCATGTGTCTCTTCTGTCATCGCCTTCACTTATTACTATGTAAATGGCTAATGAAAATTCCCAAGGCACTTTGCAACGGCTGGGGTATTTCCACACGCTCTTCCTGCTGTTTCTTATTGTATGCAAAAGGGGAAAATCCTAGCACTATTGCTCCCTATTCTAATTATGCTCATTCACGAGTTACAACTTTCTTTTTCAAATCAGCTGGCATCTGTTTAGAAATCTGCAATTTTCTTAATCATTTTTTTTTCTTGCTCTAAGATTCTTGCGTAATTCCTTTTTGCATCTACTCTTTAAAGGCTAATATTTTATTTTTAATCATGTCAGAAATAATAGAACAGAACAGAATAGAATGTAGAATGGAATAGAAGGTGGAATAGAATAGAATAGAATAGAATAGAATAGAATAGAATAGAATAGAATAGAATAGAATAGAATAGAATAGAAAATATGGAATAGAATAGAATAGAATAGTTTTCCTTGTCAGAAATTCTTCCTTATTTCCAAGTTGGATCTTCCTCTGAATAAATGCCATGAGAAGCAGACCAGAAGCTTTGCCTACTTTCAGACCTGGAGTATTTCTTTAGAGAGGTTACATGGATGTCCATGTCTACAAGGTGGTGGGAAAATATTAAGATGACAGGTGTGACCCCGAGGAATGAAACCCTGACCTGTGTTTATATTCACTGCTACAGTTGCCCCTGCTAAACGCATAGTTTCACCAAAATCCAAAAACAGAAAGTGAAAGAGGATTTTTTTTAAAAAGGTTGTTGTGAAAATTTCCCAGTTCTTTCTTTCTTTCTTTCTTTCTTTCTTTCTTTCTTTCTTTCTTTCTTTCTTTCTTTCTTTCTTTCTTTCTTTCTTTCTTTCTTTTTGAGTCATAGCTCACCTGTAGGGAGATAAGCCAAATGTCCTTAAGGCAACAGGTTGGGACAAGTCAAGTCAGATCCGTTGGCCTTCCATCTGACTGACAGAACTTTGCTTTCATGTTGGTTAAGGATATTTCAACCTTGCCTCTCCCCAGCTGTGATTTCAGAGGAGGGCAGTTTTTATTAACATTTCCGTGTCTAGTAACAGAAGGATATAAAAGCTGGAAGGGTTTATTATTGGGACCATCGTGTCCAACTGTGTGGCTGAAAAAGAACCATAATTGAAATTCAGTGGAGTGCAGTGGAGATTCTCCAAGGAAAACAAACATGGTATTTCAATTAGTGAATTTTAGGTAAACATTACAACAGCGTTTCTCAACCTTGGCACTTGTGAGATATGTGGACTTCAGCTCCCAGAATTCTCCAGCCAGCCGTGGCTGGGAGTTGAAGTCCACATATCTCACAAGTGCCAAGGTTGAGAAACACTGCATTAAATCAAGCAAAAGTAGGCTTGGTTTAGTAAGGAATTAATTCTGGAGTGTGTGTGTGATGGGGGAGGGGGAGAAAATCACACCAGGTATATCTCATTCTTAGCTGTGGTAGAAATAAAATTCATATTAAAAGTAGAAGTAAAAATTCTACTTTCAGTTGATGCTTGAATCAAGTTGGGGTATCACCAGACCTTAATCAGTGAAGGACCCAAAGGTAGCTAAATCTAGCACAGCCACAGATTGTCCCACGTTCTTCAGCCTACATAAAGTTCTAGATTTCAAATCTAGATTCCATAAAGCAATGAGCAACGCCTGGGATTAATTTTGACATGAAGCGGATGTCATTTCCTTGAAGCGGCTGCGTTAAGCACACAAGGAAACAAGGCAATCTCTTTCTCATGAAGCCTTTTTAGGGGAGACACGTTCCAACATGATCCTTGTCACACAACGTTGAAGGAACAATGAGTTCTCAACTAGAAGCCGAACAAATCTCTTCTTCTGCTTTAGTATTTTTTTTTAAATAAATAAATAACTTAGGAGCATAGCATGGATACAGTTCAGCCAGAGTTCTTTACTTGTGATGGGAGAAAATTAAGTTCAGTTGAGAAAGTGAAATTTGCTTGGATTAGCTTTCCCTGGATCGTGCCCAATTTTTAAATCCTTGTTTTCCTTCGACTATTATTCTGATAGGGGCTATTGTTAGTGTAACTCCTAGGAGTAGAAGTCAATCCACATTCCTTCAAGAGGAGAGGGGAGTGCTCCGGGTCACGTCCAAAATGGCTTTTCCCAGCCCCTCCCCATTAGTTGGGCCATCTTGACCAAGGGGCAGAATAGAGAAATCAGCGAGGATATTGTAGGGGGTTAATATTCCTTTGATTAAAGTGGAGAATTTTCAAGAATCGGGAAAGTTAAGCAGAACTGAAGCAGAGGGACAGATGACATTCAGAGAGTGCTGTTTCTGGAGAAATAAGTCAGCCATTCAGCCGGATATTGCATAACGTTGTAATTTATTTTTATTTGTTTTATGCTAGTCAAATCTAATTGTCTCTGCGCCTCTTCATATTGACGTTACAGAAATGAGTCTTTAAACTTCAGTCTTCAGTCCATCAGTAGGGCTACACGCAAAGAACGCCAAGCTTTCTCTATAATTTTCTTGTATTCTGTAACATTAAACTATTTGAAACATCTTCTAGCCAGTCCCTTTTTATGCAGACTTTGGAAGCAAAAACTGAGCCGTTTCTGGGTCTGCATTTTTTTGTAAGTTTCTTTTAATCTGCTGAACAGCTTTGTAAACTGTCTGTGTTACCGCCTAATGTTGGAAATTCTGAGTATTTAAAAGAATGTTGACCAGTTATCTTTTATCCTTTTTACATGACATTTGATTTAGTTTGTTGAGATTGAGCTATTTCCCTCAGGGAAGCAAAGAAGGGCTGAATCCTCTAGCTAAGCCCCCCAAACACCAGAAGACCAGGGGCTGCACGCTTCATTAGTTGCTACACCATTGGCTTTCTCATCATTAGAAAGGTAACAGGGAGCGATCGCTCACATAACTGGGTTTGGGGGGGGGGAAAGTAAGGCAACAACACATTATGATTGTAAGTCACGATGATCATAAAACAGGCCATCTTGTGACCAGTCCGATTTTACAACCTGTATTTGAGGAGGTCATTGTGAATCCATGGTCATTAAGCGAAACCATTGTTTGCTAGGGGGCAATTTTGCTGAAAACCAGAAGCAAACATAGTTTTTTTTTTGTCAAAAATGTAAATTGTGGTCACATGCCCACAAGACATTGCAAACGGCTGTAGAAATTCAGGGGTGGGGCTGGCCGTCAGAATCTTGGGAACGAGGTTGTAAGTATCTTTGGGGGGGCCTCGTAGCTTTGAATAGTCGCTAAATGTTCAGTCGTAAATTGAGGACTACTTGAGGAATGTACTGACCAAAATGGGCTAAGGAGAGTGGACGGATCCTCTCCTTGCTGCCTGTGACAAAGGTGTGATTAGGACTGGTAACACTTTCCTGCCTGAGCAGGGGGTTGGACTAGATGACCTCCAAGGTCCCTTCCAACATTACTACTACTACTACTACTACTACTACTACTACTACTACCTTGATTAGGACCATCATGACTTCATCCTCCCTTTCTCTTACTAGAAAACATTGGTGTGAAAGCCTCCGTGGAGCAGAGGATGGTGGGGACCTGAATGGGTTGACCCATCTCGGGTGACCATGATGGCTTGGAATGTACGGGGTTGTTCCACCTCTTCTCAGCCACTCCTCAGCCTTGGGGCTTGTGTGGGGCTGACTGGTGGGGCTTGAGCAAGATAAAGGTTGCCTTCAGCAGGCAGACATTCAAAAGATAAGTCTGGAAAATCCTTTTGACAGTTAAGGATCAACATTTTCTGACAGAGTTCTTTGTTCACACTGGGAAGGGAAGCTGTTACCCAAACGAGACATGAGGCATCTTCGGTAACGCAGTCGTTTTTAACTGACGGTTTTCTTCATTAATCATTATTTGTATACTTTTAATTTCACATTAGGGACCCTTTTGGATTCCTAACCCTTTCCCAAATAGCTCTTATAACGCATTTCCTTCAAATCTTGCCAGTTCGTCTTTATCCCTCGTCCACACAGCAAGAGATACTTAAAAAACAAACAAACGAGGAAGTATTAGAAATTGATCAGAGTAATCTGGTGTTACATCATTTTTAGCCCCATAAAAATTCTTTCACCAAGAACAGTATCCTGTCCTTTTTGGACCAGAATTAAGGAGAACTAAGGAGAAACTTCCTGACAGGGAGAACAATTAACCAGTGGAACAACCTGCCTCCAGAAGTTGTGAATGTTCCAACACTGGAAGTTTTTAAGAATAGACTGGACAGCCACTTGTCTGAAATGGTATAGGGTTTCCTGCCTGAGCAGGGGGTTGGACTAGAAGACCTCCAAGGTCCCTTCCAACTTTATTAATATTATTATTAAATATTCATTTGTTGAATGTATCAACAATCCTCAGGGGATCGGCCACCAGGAGTTCCCACCTAGAAAAGCTGGTTCTGAAGATCTCATGGTGCCAGGCCATGTAGAGCTGTAAAGATTAAAACCACCTCTTTCCATTTACTACTGGAACCCTGGAATGGCAACGTTTGCAACAGCCGTGTTGTGTGGCTCTAGTCCAGTGTGTCTTATCTGTCGTAATAGGGGCTATATTGCCTTTTGCTCCAAGTGCTGCTACCGGCTGCTCTTCAAAGGCAGCTCCAATTGCAACAGTCCCTGGGGGGGGGGGCTGTGAGTCATTGTCCATCGCTCATCCTGCTCCAGATAAGGCCACAAAAGGTGAAACCAGCCTGAAACTGGGCATCACGGTGTGTGCAAATGGCCTTGAAGGAGAGATGCTGCTGAGCTCCAATGAGTATCGATAGAAAAAGAAACGAAGGATTCCAAGCACGCATATAAATAGTTTCTTCTGGCAGGTGATTCCCTCCTGGAGATCGTAAAGTCTTCTGCCCTGGGACTTTTTCTGTGTACAGTTCCAGGAAGTTCTGAAAAATTAAGATCTATTTATGGTTTTTATTTTCTCCGGATCTCGAAAGGAACCCAGTGGGGAAATGAGAAACAAGTGGATTGCACTCCTATTTTAGATAGCCAGGAAGGGAGGCTAAAAAGAGTCAAGATGGTGGCTGATCCGGAGGGTATAAAATCTTCTGCCTTAATAATAATAACAACAACAACAGACAAGCACCTGCAACATAACACCCCAGACTTAACAATTGTCGATAAGAAAGACAAAAAAGTCTGGATAGTGGACGTGGCAGTGCCTGGAGATAGCAGAATAGAAGAGAAAGAACTGGAGAAGATAACAAAATACAAAGACCTACAAATAGAAATAGAAAGACTGTGGCAAAAGCAAGCAAGGGTAGTACCAATAGTCATAGGCTCCTTGGGTGCAATCCCAAAACAACTGGAGCACCACTTGAACACCATTGGCATTGACAAATTCGCTATTGGTCAATTGCAAAAGGCGGCCTTATTAGGAACTGCTTCCATCCTGCGACGATATCTGTAATACCATCAAACATCCACATCTGCCTATCCCAGGTCCTGGGTAAGGACTCGATAGGTAGACAAAATGCCAAATCCAGTCTGAACATCTGGCTGACTGTGCGATGATCGATAATAATAATAAAGTTGGAAGGGACCTTGGAGGTCATCTAGTCCAACCCCCTGCTCAGGCAGGAAACCCTATAGCAGGGGTTGGACTAGAAGACCTTCCAGCCCTAAGATTCTTTGTTTTATGTTAGGTCCACATAATCAAGGGGTTGCAATACGTGATGCCGATTCATTTTGTTTGTCTGTTGCAATCATTTAAGCCCTCCGCGAACAGCGTGGATTCCCTTTCTTCTTAGCCATGTTTTGAAATTAAAACGCTCCCCATTTTACAACGGTTGCAAATAGCAAAAAATAGCCATGACGATTTGACATCTTTCAAATTAATGTTGGAAAGTTTCACGAGCGGTCTCAAGGCAGTCAGAACATAAAGTCAAAGGCCATTTATTTGGAACCAATTCTATACTTAACAGGATATCTTCAGGACTGTGTATCTGAGGCCCTGCCGGGCGCATTAATTGGATTCCAGTTTTGGGATGGATTCAGATCGATGGCGCAATTCCTAAAGGGGCATTTTGAGGTTTTTCTTTCGCTTAAAGGCAAAAAACACAATGGTAGCATTACACGGGCTAATCACGTGCCAAAGATGGTCACTTCTATGAGGCCTGGCAAGGGTTTGGGTCAGTGGGCAACTGGCTTCCCAGCCTGGCTATCTTGGGTGATTAAATCAGTGCTTTTCAGTCATTCTGCTCTGAAGTCACCCTTTTTGCAACGATCAGCCAAGTGATGAAATCCTGGGCATTTGCCAAGAATCTTGTGGGTCTTCTGGCTGGTTCTGGCAGACATCCTTGTTGGAAAGGAGTCAGGAATGACAGAAGACAGAAGCTCGTCTTCCTCCAGCTGTGCCTGGGGAGGAAAAAACAGCCATGATGGTCAAGCCTTATATTAGAGAAATTCACACGATCTTTGGACAGTTCAGTTTAGTTCTTAACTGGTCAAAATTTGGATGCTTGGCAATTGTCGTGTATTTATGACGGTCGCAGCATCCCGGGGGGTTGTCACATGATCCCCTTTTTGTGAACTAAAGAGATCTTTCCTTGACCACAGTAGTATGAAAATTCCTGCTTGAGCGGGACTAGAAGACCTCCAAAGTCCCTTCCAGCTCTATCCCATTCCATTCTATTCTCCTCTACTCCATTCTCCTCTGTTCTGTTCTGTTCTGTTCTACTCCACTCTACTGTTCTATTCTATTCTATTCTATTCTATTCTATTTATTCTCTATTCTCCTCTACTCTATTCTCCTCTGTTCTGTTCTATTCTATTCTATTCTACTCCACTCTACTGTTCTATTCTATTCTATTCTATTCTATTCCATATTCTACTCTACTCTACTCTACTCTACTCTATTCTATTCCATATTTTATGTTCTGTTCTGTTCTAGTCTACTCTACTTTTCTCTTGTCCTCTATTCTATTCTATTCTATTCTATTCTATTTATTCTATTTATTCTCTATTCTCCCCTACTCTTCTCCTCTGTTCTGTTCTATTCTATTCTATTCTATTCTATTCTCTATTCTCCTCTACTCTATTCTCCTCTATTCTGTTCTATTCTATTCTACTCTACTTTTCTCTTGTCCTCTATTCTATTCTATTCTATTCTATTCTATTCTATTCTCTATTTTCCTCTACTCTATTCTCCTCTATTCTGTTCTATTCTATTCTATTGTACTCTACTTTTCTCTTGTCCTCTATTCTATTCTATTCTATCCTATCCTACAATCTGTCTATTCTATTCTATTCTATTCTATTCTATTCTATTCTATTCTATTCTATTCTCTATTCTCCTCTATTCTATTCTATCTATTCTCTATTCTCCTCTATTCTGTTCTATTCTACTCTACTCTTTTGTTCTCTATTCTCCTCTACTCTACCTTCTCTTCTCCTCTCTACTCTCTCTTCCCTTCTCTTCTACAACCTGTCCTATTCTGTTCTATCCTGTCCTGTCCTATCCTATCCTATTCCCTTCTTCAGATCTGTGGAGGGGTTAGACTGGTGCACAGATCTCCCCAAAAGCTTCTGCCCTTTCAATAAAACCTGGTTAGTCTGAGAAGGGGCTACCAGACCCCTCCGTGGAGCAAGTGTCCCAGATGCTGTCCTTTGCTTCCCACCTGAAGAACACAGGGCAGGTGTTAATCAAGCTTGGCAGCCATGCCATCGTGCACACCTTTGGGTGGTACCGGAGAAGGAGAGCACCGGCGCTTACAAATACAGGAGCGACGAGGGGGAGGCAGGGCTGGGATTGAAAAAGAGTCTCATCCGCCTTCTTGTGTGTTTGTGTTTCCTCTCTGTCTGCCCCGTTTCTGTACAGGCTCCTAGGCCGCTCGAAGACCAGCGATGAGGGAACAAAGATAGAGAATGAGGTAATGGCAGGAGCAACTGAGAGGGACCTTTTGTTTGAGCGTGGAATGGTGACTCCGTAGCCCAAGATGAATGGGTTGTGAGGAGCGTCTTTGTACAGCACGGCTGGAAGAGGCATTTCTCTCGCGCAGACCCTCTGAAGAGAAAAATGGGTCTCCCTTCCCTCTTGCCAGTCTCCACCGAGATGACCTCATTCCTCTGGAGGACAATGGAGGGTCTGGGCCTCTAAGTTCACAGCCGTTACCTCATCTCCTTCCTGGGGGCCGCAGATTGAAAAGCAAAGCGTTGCTCCCGTTCGGCGTCTGCGGTTGTCATGGCGGACGAAATGAACGGGGCTCAGCTCATAGCCGGGGAGAGGCTGGTGACTTGGCTGGAAAGCAGCATGGAGAGATTGCTCCTGATTGACAGCCGTCCCTTTGTGGAATACAACATGTCCCATATCTTGGAGGCCATCAACATCAACTGCTCCAAACTCATGAAGCGCAGGTTGCAGCAGGATAAGGTGCTGATCACCGAACTTATCCAACATTCGGCAAAACAGAAGGTAAGGCTCTGGGGAGCAGAGGGTGGATTTTTTTTTCCGGGGGGGGGGGGGGAGAAATACATTTATAGATGAAGGACAGAACTGGCAAGAGATCAATCAGAATAGAGCTGGAAGGGAACTTGGAAGTCTTCTAGTCCAGGGGTCTCCGACCTTGCTAACTTTAAGACTTGTGGACTTCAACTCCCAGAATTCTTAAAGTCTTAAAGTTGCCAAAGTTGGGGACCTGTGTTCTAGTCTAACCCCCTGCTCAAACAGGAGATCCTATTCAATTCAGACAAACGACTGTCCGGTCTTTTCTTTAAAACTTCCAGTGATGGAGCACCCACAACTTCTGGTAGCAAGCTGTTCCACTGGTTAATTGCCCTCCCTGTTAGGAAATTTATCCTTAATTCCAGGTTGCTTCTCTCCGCGATTAGTTTCCATCCGTTGTTTCTTGTCTGGCTTTCTGGTGCTTAGGAAAATAGGTTGAACACCCCCCCCCCCCTTTGTGGCAGCCCCTCAAATACAGAAAGACTGCTATCGTGTCGGTCCTTCTTTTCTCCAGACTGGCCATTTCCAAATCCTGCCACCCTTCGTCCTATGTTTTAATCTCCAAGGCTTTAATCATGCTAGCTGATCTTCTCTGCGCTTTTTCCAAAGTCTCAACCTCTTTTTTTGTCATGCTGTCAGAGGATGCTGGCTGTGCAGGTATTGACCCAAATGATTCCCTTTCCCACCCTTAAGCAGAATCAAGAGTTTTCTTGGTCCCGGCTTTATCATAATCATTGCTAACAACAGTCTGAAAAATGCTGCTACAACGGAAGGGTAAAACAAACACTGTTGGGCAGAAGAGTTTGGCGTTTTCTGAACTAAAATAGCCGCAAGGTTTAGCCATCTTTCTTTTGTCACTTTAAAAAAAGTTCAACTCGGGTGAAGCAGATCGCCACTTGTGGCCTTGCTGATACAAACAGGAGCCGTCCGGCAGAGAAGCCACAGTGACGCATTTGATCTCGCTTGACCTCTGTCTCCCCGGAGGGTGCTCGTGGAGGCCAGTCTTCAACAGAGTCAGAGAAAATTGTCTGAGCGCATGAAATCCCATCCCGGGCTCTCTGGCAGGCTTAGCAAATCAGGTCCTCGAAGGCAAATGTGGTTTATTTTAACCTGGGTTTTGTTTTGGCCTTGAGTCTCCGGGATGAGTCATAATTGTATGAGATCATACAATGCTTTGCTGTCAAGCTAGCACAACCACCCCGATTTGGTTTACCCGTCAAGCGGAGCCAAAGCCTAACAACTGGCAGATTTAGCACAGTGTGAAAATTGGGCCTAGGTTTCATTTAATTAATTCATTATACTTACATCCCTCCCCCCCCTTCCGTCTGATGGTGTGCCCAAAGATAGCTAACTTTTAGTAGAAGGCAAAATTCAAAATAGTAAAAAAAAAAAGGCATAAATTAAAACCAAGGTCAACCCCAATCATCCTGCATCTTTTGAAATCCCATTATTTTTTTGAAGATACTCTGCAGACAGCCTCAGCACGGCACTGAAATTGCAAACATTAAGAAGCAATAAAACACTCTTGATAAGAAATACTGTTGTTGTTTTTTATCTTTTAAATGCCTGGAAACATGAAACAATTTTTGGCTGGTGCCAGCAATGATTATACATTTCAGTTATTATATAATCCAAATCTCAAAAGCAAAATGACCAGAACTGGCCAGTTTTCCAGTGAAATGTCCAGTGATGACACATTGCAAGATAATGAAAGTTTAGGGCCATATTTCTCTCATACATCGTTCCTGGTGCTACAGCCCCAGCCTTTGTTTTAACGTTCCCTCCTTAACACATATTTCCATGACGAGAAAGAAGCCAGAAATGGGGAAACTAGGAGGGGGATTAAGAGCAGTGGTTAGAATGTAGTATTGCAGGCTAATTCTGCCGACTGTCAGCAGTTTGATTCTTAGGTTGACTCAGCCGTCCATCCTTCCGAGGTTGATAAAATGAGGACCCAGATTGTTGGGGGAAAATAGTCTGACTTTGTAAACTGCTTAGAGGGCTGTAAAGCATTGTGAAGCAGTATATAAGTCTAAGTGCTATTACAATTACTATTGCTAACTCTGCCCACTGTCAGCAATTCGATCCTGACGGGGCTCAAGGTTGACTCAGCAGCCTTCCATCCTTCCGAGGTCGGTAAAATGAAGACCCAGATTGTTGGGGGCAAATAGTCTGACTCTGTAAACTGCTTAGAGAGGGCTGTAGAAGCCCTGTGAAAAATGGCACATATGTCTTATTGCTATTGGGTAAACTCTTTGCAATCATCCCTGTTTGAGACAGGAAATGTGTACAATAATAGTGTCAGCAAGAAGAACCATAGTAAAAAGGTAAAAATTGGACTAAACTGAAAACTATTTCTTGTATCTTCTCAACGACGTGTCTTAGGTTGAAATCGACGGCAAACAGGAAGTTGTGGTGTATGATCAAAACTCAGCAGATCTGGCTACTGTCCCTTCCGATTCCTTCCTGAGTCTCCTGCTGAGAAAATTGGAGAAAAACTTCAACTCTGTTCACTTGCTTGCAGGTAGGGTCCGTGGCGGAACACCTGAGCAGGTACACATGGGGTTACACAGGTCATTCCAAAGCATAATTGTGCATATCTTCTGACACCGACCTTGTTTTGCCAAGGTGTGTCCTCGCTTTCTCTTTTCAATGGAAGAAAATGCTAATGTTAGCAAAGCGGATGGTTACAACAGTTCAGAAAGAAAATGGCATGGATCTGACTTGGCCTTGCTTGGTATTAGATGCAGCAGATAAAAACTAGGGATAGGCTTTTCGCATTCTGTTATTGTACCCAACAAGAATAAAGCAGCATTTTCTGCTTGTTGACCTGTCCCGTCTCGAAGGGCTGACATCTATCTCAAGAGCCTCCATCCTGCCTTGGATGAAAAAAAACCAAATCCATTTGAACTTGCCAAATACTTTTGTAACGGGGAGGGTGGAATCCAGGAAAACGGCTTGTTTGACAAGCTTTCTTTGATAATCTTCTTTGCTCTCACCCAATTGGCCTATTTGCCTCACTTTTTATTAAGTTTAAATGCTTTCTTCCACCAAATTTGTCTTTTGGTAGGATTTGTTCTCTATGTATTCTTTTGACTTGTATCTCACCTTTTGACACTTCAAATAGCTTTAGCTTCACGCCTAGGCTAAAATGATTCATTAATGCAGGGGTCTTCAAACTTTGGTCGTGTGCCTTGGGGATGCTGCAACAGTTGTAAGTGTGAAAAACAATCATCAGCCATTTTTCCCCGTGCCCTTGTAACTTTTGAACAGTCACTAAATGAATGGTTGTAAAGAGAGGACTGCCTGTATTACATTATATTCATGCAGGCGTCTTCAAACTTGGCCCTTTTATGACTTGTGGACACCAACTCCCAGAATTCCTCAGAAGTCCACAAGTCATAAAAGGACCAAGTTTGAAGACCCCTTGACTTGTGGACTTCAATTCCCAGACTTCCTCAGCCAGGCACGCTAACTGTGCTAACGGCTAAACAAGTTGTTTTGAAAGTGCCCCTGTTTTTAAATTAATGAAAAACAAAAACAAACCCAAACTGCAGTGTCAACAACTGTTATCTTTTTCAGTCCAAGGTTGGTATGTAAAAAGTTCAGCTGTTACCCAAACACTGTATAGATTACAAGGCTGTAAGAAATTAAACACCAGTAACATTTCATTTCCTCCTTAGAGTGCCTTGAAAGCAGGACCCTGTTCGGTCAGGGCAGCTTTCTATTCTTCCTTGGAAGAGTTTTTAAGGCACAGATTAACAAAATCACGTGGCCTGACCTGTGTGTACAGTCTTTCTTTGACTCTTATCTCTATAATAAGCGTTATCTCAGCAAGTTGATGACAAACTCTTAAAATGTTTGAGTTCAGGGGTCACTGAGCTGTACAAAAGGCAAAGAATGGAGAAGGTCCAAAGGGTTATCCAGGCTGAGCTGTTGAAAACAAAGTATTTTAGGAGCCCAGAGGACAAAGAAATAGGGTGGGCAAGAAAAGAGCTGGTTCATTAAATGACTTTTCCCTAATGTTCACGTTCTTTATCTGCTTGGTCTGTGCTGCTGTTTAGTCTAGATAATCTAGGGATATAATAATAATAATAATAATAATAATAATAATAATAATAATAATAATAATAATAATAATAATACAATGATGAAGATGCACTGAAATTAGTATATCAGGAAGGCTTACTAACTACTGGAGAGACCAAACTGGCCTACAAGAAAGACCAAATGAAGAACAGAATAGAGGCATGGGAAGACAAAGCACTACATGGCCAATACATTAAAAAATAGCTGAAAGCAGAACCTGGCAATGGCTAAGAGCAGAACCGGGTTAATTCTGGCTGCACAAGACCAAGCCTTAAGGACAAAGCATACAAAGTCAAAATTGAGAAGACAGCAACAGACAGTAAGTGCCGCCTATGCAAAGAAGCTGAAGAAACAGTGGACCACTTGGTAAGCTGTTGCAAGAAGATTAGGATTACAAGCCCATGACAAAGTAGACAAATCTGATAATTTGCCTGTAAGCAAAAACTGGGGATCATAAAATAGAGAAAGCATAGAAAATGATAAAATTAAACTGCTCTGGGACTTCAGAATTCAAACAGACAAGCACCTGCAACATTAACAATTGTCGATAAGAAAGAGTCTTTGCCTCCCTAATGAACTGGAGAAGATCACAAAGTTCTGTGGCAAAAGCAAGCAAGGTAGTACCTGCTCCTTGGGTGCAATCCCAAAACAACTGGAGCACCACTTGAACACCATTGGCATTGACAAATTGTATTAGTCAATTGCAAAAGATAGGAACTCTAGGATATCTGTAATACCATCAAACATCCACATATCCCATAAATCGATAGGTAGACAAAATAAGTCTAATAATGAATAATAATAATAATAATAATAATAATAATAATAATAATAGTAAAGTTGGAAGGTACCTTGGAGGTCATCTAGTCCAACCCCCTGCTTGGGCAGGAAACCCTACACCATTTCGGACAAATGGCTGTCCAGTCTCTTCTTAAAAACTTCCAGTGTTGGAGCATTTACTGCTTCTGGAGGCAAGCTGTTCCACTGATTAATTGTTCTCACTGTCAGGAAGTTTCTCCTTAGTTCTAGGTTGCTTCTCTCCTTGAGTAGTTTCCACCCGTTGCTTCTTGTCCTGCCTTCAGGTGCTTTGGAGAATAGCTTAATTCCCTCTTCTTTATGGCAGCCCCTGAGGTATTGGAACACTGCTATCATGTCCCCCCTTGTCCTTCTCTTCGTTAAACTAGACATACCCAATTCTAGCAATCGTTCCTTATATGTTTTAGCCTCCAGTCCCCTGATCATCTTTGTTGCTCTTCTCTGTACTCTTTCTAGAGTCTCAACATCAATATAATCCAGATCACGTGAAGTGTTAATACCACTTTATAATGCTTTGGTAAGGCCGCACTTCGAACGCTGCGGTTTTGGTCACCATGATGTAAAAAAGTTACTGAGACTCTAGAAAGAGTACAGAGAAGAGCAACAAAGATGATCAGGGGACTGGAGGTTAAAACATATAAGGAACGGTTGCTGGAATTGTGTATGTCTAGTCTAATGAAGAGAAGGACGAGGGGGGACATGATAGCAGCCTTCCAGTATTTCAGGGGCTGCCCCAAAGAAGAGGGAGTCAAGCTATTCTCCAAAGCACCTGAAGGCAGGACAAGAAGCAACGGATGGAAACTAACCAAAGAGAGAAGCAACCTGGAACTAAGGAGAAATTTCCTGACAGGAAGAACAATTAATCAGTGGAGCAACTTGCCTCCAGAAGTGAATGCTCCAACACTGGAAGTTTTAAAGACGAGACTGGACAACCATTTGTCTGAAATATTCAGTTAGACTCCAAGAATTTGGCCATTAAAAAGACTGAAAGATGAGTAATGATGGGATCTCGATCCAGATCCCTTAAGACCGATTGGAGATTGGCAAATGTTTTTTGGCTAATTAAGTGCACCTCTTTCAATTCCCTAACTAATGAGAATATGTAGAAATTGAAACCTTGGAATTTTAGGCTAATTGGTGGACTGTTTTTTTTTCCACGAGATCAAAGTACGTAAAATCAGATCTGAGCTCAATAAAGGCAGAGTAAACTGATGCTTTGGGCTGTCTGACACATATTTTAACCAGATGCTATCATAGAAGTTTCTGGCGTTTAGTGGAGAGATTGATTCGAAGTCTACCTTGTTCCTTTTCTGAGACAAATAATCCCAAAGTTCCCACCAGAACCGACTAGCGTATAACTTGTCAATTATATTCTGGAGACTAAGAGGCCTAGAATTAGCAGGGTCAGCCCTGTGGCTTTTTAAATATAGCATAAGAAGAACGGCCGTGTCTCAATCCCCTGGAGAAGTGGGCAGTTTTATCAACATATTTCAAAAGTACATCACGCTCGGCCTCCGTCCTCTCAAAGCAGCATTAATTTAAAAAAATTCTGCTAGGACCATCCCAAAGTTGAATAGTGTTTTTATTTCAGAAACTCAGGAGTAACATCAGATATAATACTTGTGCTGGAATGATTAAAAACAAGCTTTGAGAGTTCCTGAGGGAAGGGTCTAACAGGCTAAATGAAGTATAACTGGGATAAAATGACTAAGGTGGTTTGCCAAAGCCTGTATCCCTGCAGTCCAGCAGAAAAACTAATGACTTCCATAAGTTCTGGATAACAGCCTGTTTTGTCTTTCAAGAACGATTTTTCATAACTTGTAGCTCACAAGGTCTCCAAAGTTGGCAACTTTAAGACCTGTGGACTTCAACTCCCAGAATTCCCCAGCCACAATGGCTGGCTGAGGAATTCTGGGAGTTGAAGTCCATAGGTCTTAACGTTGCCAACTTTGCAGGCTCCTGTTTCTTGATGGGGGGGGCATAATTCTCTTTATTTTACTTTAAAAAGTATTTTATTTTACTTTTTGCTTTGTTTGCCAAGTGCAAACAATTCTTAAAGACAGATGTTCCCGGGGGCTCCCATGCATACATATGCCATGTCCATATCTTTAGATTCTGAATGAGGGTATCTATTTATTTAAATATTTCAACAATCATTTATGTAGTTTTTTTTTGGGGGGGGAGTTCTATTGCCTACCAAGTAGCCTTCACCCAGATTAAGATAAGATAACCTTTATTGTCATTTTTTACTGTGGCCACAAAGACACCCATCAAAAATGAAATTCAGTTGCCTGCTCTCAAAGTGAACACATACATGACACACACCTAAGCCTACTGACACCCTCCATGAAGAGGAGGCACGACCACGAACGAGAAGCCAAAAAATGGCAAGGCAGCCCAAAATCTTAAACCCCTCTGCAACTCAGACTAACCTGAGCACAACCAAACAGAACATTCCCCCAGCCAATCAGAGCACAGCCAAGCCCCTAACCATTCAGAACACACCTCCACCCAATCAGAACATAGCCAAGCTCTCACCCAATCAGTTCATACCCCCACTGGCAGTTAAAAGGAAGAAACAGCTAAAACCACACATTGCTGCTCAAAGCACGAAGCTGA